ACACGGAAGAAACGCTGAGATGAGAGCTTTGCCATTGTATATTGGACCAACATCACTATCACGAATGACTATGAACACATTATATGATCACGTTACATGGATTGTCACATTGACAATTTTATAACAATCCTTTTTTCAAGAACTACAGTAATGATTAACATCAAAATCAACATAAGTGGATTTAGTGATCCAAGCTTTCTCCTCCAGTAGCAATGGAATGATCGCATGTTTCATTTGCCAGACACTGAGTACCCATGATGCACATTACAATCTGCATAGCATCTAAGCATAGTAAAGCTGCCAAAGTCCATTCATTCTAGATTTTTAACTTGATAGCACTAATTTATCTTGCTGTTGTAAGATATCATTCAATATTCATACCAAACATCAATATGCGCAGTGCGCTCACAGTCAACATTTCTGGCATGATCCTGCTCAGCGCGCTCTTCACTGGTCTTCAGTATTGCTCCAAGATCTGCAATATTATGCTTGTTTTCGGCCAATAAGCGTTTTGATTTTACTTTTTCTTGCTGATATATGAGCCCGTTTAACTTTCGTTTGTCAACCAAAATTTCATAACTTCAAGTTCAACTGATATTGATATTGCGATCAGGAGTCAGGACCTTGACCTCTGTCAGCCTCTTGGATACTTGGATTGTATTCAGTCACATGCTTCTAAATAATAAGTCAATCTTAGGGATTCAAACATCCAACAAAACGACCAAGAGTACGGAAACCACCAGATAAACTTAAAAATCGCCTTGGAACAGAGCCAATGCCATTTGTTTGTTTACAATGATTGTAGTGCTGATGTATTTTTAGGACTCTGAAGGTCGGCTTATAAAATGAAACGTTTTACAAAAGTTGTAAAACAAGTAATATTTATCTGAAAGAACTAAAATATTCAAAGGCAAAACACTATGAAATACATGAATCGGAACGAAAAAATAACCCAAAAATCCAGCCTAATCACCGGCTCCTAAAACTGCAACAGAATCAGCACTTTTCCCCGCAACTCGTTGTCCAGACGTAAATATGCGGTACAGCAAGAACAGCATTTTGGCGCCTTGTGGTGCGATTCTTTACGACAGCCCAACAGTAAGCAGACGGTTAGCAATTGAAGTCATACCATACAGTTATAGCTACGTCATACAATTTATTGTAGATTATTTGCTATGCCTGAAGCTAGTTTGTTCGTAAGCATTCACATCTGATTTAAAAACCGTCAGAAATTTTACAATTAGCTAGAAAAAAAGAATATTACGCTTATAGCAGTTATATAAGAAAAACGATCGATTTCCAATGACGTCATTTTGACGCTGACAGTCGCTGTTGTTTTTTAGGCTGCATGCAGATTTCATCATTCTTGTTCTTGTGCGCCACAGCTGCTGTGTTGAACAATATTGGGCTCGTGCCTTTAATGTGAGTATTTTGGTAATTCCTCGTAAATAACACTTGTAATCCGACGTCTTGCTCACTTCCCTCCAAGCTTGTTTAGACTATGATGTTTTTGGAAAGATTTAACTGTATTTGTAATGTTTTTCATCTGCGCCATGTTTGCCGCATTCCGTTTTGGCGGATCAAGGCAGTTTATATAATTATCAATTTTCCTTTTTAACTGTACAGTGTTGGTTTTGTCTTGCTGTTATAAATACTTTGTGAATTGATTTTTTCTTTAGCATAGTTTGCCCTCCCTTGGCAGGTACCTCAGTATTATTATAGCAGGCGTCTCACATGCTGCCACCGTTCGTGAAAAGTCTCTACACTCTCCAGTTCTTGAGATATTTCCTCAAATTTTGCTTAAAATCTCTAGAGTGTTCTACAAAACAAAAACATAACCTAACCTGACCTAACCTTACCTACAACCTACAAACCTAGAACCTACAACCTACAAACCTACAACCTAAAGAGAAATTCGTGTAAATATCTCAAGAAACGAAGAGTCTAGACTTAGAGACTTTTCATAAACGGGTGGCAGCATGTGAGACGCGTGCTATAAGAATGCTGGTTCCTCTTTGTACTGGTACAGAAGTTATGACAGTTTTACTTTTTCTTTCGGAAATCTGCCAAGCTTACTTGATGTTTTCAAGGGATAGGTCCGAAGCTCAAAAGCGCTGTTAAGTTTCAGCTTAATCGGGATGCCCCATGCTGCAAGTTTTCACGTACGAAATATGAGTGTCAGACATCAGTTATTTGCATTGCTTGGCCTCTCATTGTTCAACTATACTTACTATGAAGCTCACCACTGAGAAGAAACTTCACATTTGGTAACACTGACAATCAATGTTGATCAAACAGTATTAAGAATCATCCATCAAATTTGTTAAAATAGTTTTAATGGATTTTTGGCAGTCATAAAGTAGGCATCACACCTGCCTTTGCAACCAAGGAGAGGTGCTAGATCCAGAGATGCTTCTTCCCAGCCACAAAAAACCTAAACTAACCTTACCTAAAACCTACAACCGAAAACCTACAAACTATACAACCTCTATCTCCGGGCATAGCACCTCTTCTTGGTTGCAAAAACAAAAGTGTGACACTACCTGCTTTATGACTACCAATTTGTTCACCTTCTTGTGCATTAGACCAGAGGATAGTTGTTTGGTTGGTGTACAGTAGGTGCTCAGTGCTGCTAGATCAGGCTATGTTTGATTTTTTTTATGTATGCCGTATGCCTTATAATTGAATTAGCATGCCCTTTCAAGCTACATTTTTTGTGAGGTGTGGCAGAGAGTGACGGAGACTGGTTTTTGGTCTAACATATCTAAATAGTTGACTGAACTTAATATGTCAGCTGGGCAGATTTAATGCCTCTATGGAGATAAGACAGTATTTAGATTTTGTGTTTTCATGCAGATAAGGTTGGCCATTCCCTTACCAGATGAGGTGAAATGTAATAGTATACACCATATGTGATCTAGGTACCTACTTACCAAATAACCAAGTTATGTGTAATTTCTAATTACCAATATCTTATGTTTTTATTTCATCACCTGTTCATGTTTTTTTTTTCAATGAGCATATCTATGAGGATCAACTGAATAGAATGCCAGGATCAATCAGCAGACTAATCACCTACATTTTATTGACAAAATTATTGATTAATGATCTTTTCAAGCTTATGATGGATGAGGTGAAAGAACACTGGCACTTTTTCTGTTGAGAGGAGTGAGTTATGGTCATCAGTTGCCACTCAACATGTCAAAATTAAAAGGCTATAGCTATCACTCATCACATCACTCGCCTGTCAAGAACCACCAGAATCTTGGGGCCATAGAAGGCAAACCATTCTTATCATCACCAATGAACTAATATTGTTGATATTTACATTGTTCCTTCTTTTTCAGTATCCGAATGAGGGTTTATGCTGGTTGTAACAAGTGGATGGCAAATGAAAGAAAAGTTAATGTCTGTAACGCAAAGTATCAGCATCGCGAAGCCGTTGTCAAGTCTGCAGCTGAAGTGTATCCCTCCGAGCGGAACATGAGGAGCTGCGGCTACTGTCACACGGACCACGACCCGCGCCTGAACCCGGACGCCGAGGAGTTCTTCCCTCGTCAGCCGGTCGAGCTGGGCAGCGGCTCGCTGCTCTGGAGCGACGGCCACCGGCTCGCCGCTCACTTTCCAATGCAGGCATTTGGGTGCAGAGTGCCGATGTGGCCGCTGGATTACCCACCGCCGCCGCCGGCGGGACCGAGAAAGTATCCGTGGCTGTACCGTTCACGGGGCGGCCGGTGGGGAGCGCGGCCCGCTCACGTGAACGGCGGCGGACCGGTGACCGTGACCAACAGTAGCACCCTGAACGGGAAGCCGGCCAAGGCCGACCGGCAGCCGGCGAGTCGGTGTGCCGTGACCGGGCCGCGGGCGGAGGCGGCGGCCGGCTCGGCCATCCACCCTCACTGCTCTCCACCGGCCGGTCAGTGCCGGGAGACTGGGGAGCAGACGGGCCAGGAGACCGCCGCCCGCGCAGAAGACCGAGCAGCCGCCGCCGCTGCCGTCCACCAGCTGTGATATACCCGCCAGTGACTCGAACACGCGACTGTTTCGCAAGGTGAACTCAGTGCCGAACGGGACCGGCCCTTACCGGCTGATATGCCGAACACGATCCGCGACATTTGTTCCATCTCCATCCATGCCGCCAGTGCTCTGGCGAACCGGGTCCCCTCGCCGGTCCAGTGCAGTGACTCGACGAAACTGCGGCGTCCCAGTCCCACCGAGCCGCTGCCGAGAGACCGGGCGTGCTGTCCTCCCCGGCGGCTACCACTGTGATCTCGCGACAGCCCTCATCAGCATCCTCCGATATGGACGTACCGTCGGAGCCCTCCACGCCGGCGGCGACCAGCCCCGCCCGGTGGCGGAGCTGCCGCTCGTCGTCCTCTCTTTCAGCCAACTCTGAGTCCAGTGACGACTCGAGCAGTGAGTCGAGCGACGACGACTCGACGCTCGGTGACGAGGAGTGGGACGCGTCGGCGGCCACCTTTCTGCCCAGTAGCTCGGTCGACTCGGGCGATGACTTCATTATGTTCGCCGATGACGCTGATGACGAACCGCGTGGGGCGCCGGAGCCAGCGCCGCCTCGAACGCCAGGTGAGTGCGCCCGATGCGGTCTGTACACTTGGTGACGATCAAATGAGATTGTGTATGTACTTTATAAGCATTCTGCGTGAATGTGTTATTTACTAGTACCATTTTCGCCCGGTCTATTTTAATCCTTTTGATTTTTCATAGCCATCTTTTGTGACACATTCAGTAAAGACCTATGTATCTATGCTAACCATATACTTTTGCAGTGGTCTGTGATTTAATGCCTCCCGTATAATCCTACCGCTTCTCTTTTTCAAACTGATTATGCGCCAAAAACGCACGAATTATTGGAATTGCTATAGTCTCCTATGCTTACGCACTCACTTACTAGCTTGGCTTCGCTCTACCGATTTACGATCCATGGCTGTCTTGAAAAATTATATAAATGTTTCGTTACGTGTGTCTGTGGAGTGACACGGCTTGTTTATCTGCCAACTCCGAAACATATCGTTGTCTTAAGGCCTTCTTTTTACCCTTTTTCACGCAATTGCTGATATTTTTCTTGTGGGTCTGGTGCCTCTAGCTGCAGCACCTTACCTCTATCAGTATCGCATAGTAGTAACATCGCTGTTATCAGTCACGTTTATTCAACGACTCACTGCATGTTTCCCATGTTTTCCTCGCCGATGACCAATGCAATCGGGGGAAGGGGAGGGGTCCATAAAACCGACACATTACGATCAGTTTGTTTAGTCATGTTCATAGCATGGCAACACAGCACATTATACTTAGATGTACTTAGTCATGTTCATAGCATGGCAACACAGCACATTATACATGTCTTACTGTAACCTGGGAGTGTCGAGCATCAGTGCGGTGCTGCGATGGCTTCGCCGAGAGCCTGACGTCGGGCCAAAAATCAGTCGCTTTAGCCATGGTTTTATGTCCTGCGCTATGTTTCAGTGTTTACTTATCGGTCACATTTTCATGCGTTTATTTACCATGAGAAAAGATGTCAAAGAAGTGTCTCAGTCTTTCGTCATGTTGTAAGTCATGGCTGCCTTTGTTTGTCCCGTTTATCTTGTTTCCGCAATACCACACGACCGTGGTCACACGAGCTGTTTCGACAGCACTGGTTGCGCTCATGCTGGTGGCGAACTGTGCCCCAGTGCTGTTTTCCCTGCTATTGTACTTAGGTGGACGCGCTCCAGCGTTTTGCGTGTAGGGAAGGCTCTAGTGTTGTTAAAATGACGCGCATAGCATTTTCGCTTACTTATGTTATCTACATCGACTAGCAAGCGCTGCCTGTCCAGCTAGTGTTTTGCGCAGTATGTCATATTCACAGTTTCACAATCCGTTTTCCGACAATGCCAGACTCTCCCCCCAGTGCCTGGCGATGCCAATTAAATAATCTACCTCCCATCATAATGATAAATCCTCCCCCTGACTGTAGATCTACAGTGCCTTGCTGACATCTACGGCAACTAACAGCACTGGAAGTATCTGATAGTATCTGACAGTACCGGGGAATTATCTCCAATATCTGACGGTGCCGGCAGTACTGTCTGACATTATGACCCCTCTCTCCGGCAGTGTTTGGTCCCACGGCCGCCGATCAGGTGGACTCAGGTCTCTCGGCCGAGACAGACCCCAGTGACAGCGAGCCGGAAGACTCGAGCGACGACGAGCTCAGCGACGACGAGTGTGAACCGTGCCACAGCTCTCCGGGCGGCACGTGCACGCTGCACCAGAGGATCGCAGAGGCCAACCGGCAGCTGGTGGACTGGTGCGCCGCGCCGCCCCGACAGCCCAACAGAGAGGCCAGGGTAGGTAGCGCGTCGGCGGCTCGATTGGTGATGGAGGCGGCTCACTGTTATGTTTTTACTGGAGTAACCTTTGGAGCTGGGAAAACATACTAGTTTAGTAAGTTGTTGAGCTCTTATTATTGTAAGGTTTCATGTTTGTTATTTGTGCTTGCCAGGGGTGGTCACCATGGCTGTAGCAACAGATGTAGTTGGCAACTTGTTATATGCGTGACAGTCTACGTAAAATCCATATTTTTCCCTTTCTCGCTCCATATCTGACATCTAACCTCCACCCATCCTTGCTTTGTCCACAGGTACGATTTCTCTCTGGTGACCGGCTGGCCACCGTTCACGCGGCTCCCGACTACGACCGGGCGATCGCCAGCGACCTGCTGGACCAGCAGCGTCAGCGGGACCGGCTGCGCCGCTGGCGCCAGGACGTGGACCGCCAGGTGGCGCCCGTGCTGGCGGCTGTGCTCAGCGCCGAGCACCGGCAGCGCGTGCTCCGCGAGCGGCCCGAGCTGCTGCGCGACAGCTGACCGGCGCCCGGGAGCGGGGCTGGTAGGACGGGTAGTTAGGGACGTGACCGGGGGTCCGGCGGCGGCAGGTCCAGTGTGGTGGGCTAACGAACTGTGGGGTGTTAGGTTTGGTGGTAAGGGAAATTTAGGAGTTGCCTCGGCAAGTTGATGATAGCCCTGCGCGGTCGGTGGTCCAACAAAACGCGTGACAGCGTCGTGGAAGGGGCTCAGGTTCACCAGGTCATCTCAGTTATGAACTTTGTAGATCAAACCATTACCTAAAAAAGTAAAAAGCGTATTCTAGCTCATCTGAATGCAGTTGGACATGCTCCAGGCTTTCATTCTAGAGAAAGGGATGAAATTTGAATTCGTGACGTGCTATCGAAAGGTCCTCGATTAATTATTGAACTTTACGTCCAAAAGGAAAGGAACAATAATGCCGAAATCTGTTGAGCTCCAAATGACGATAAATCGACGTGGAATTCTTATAAACGTCTCCATGTGTGCAAAATGATCACTAGTAGGCGCTCCGAAATCTCCAGTATACAACAAAAATAGACTTCAGCAATTGGCAAGACAAGTTTGACTCATTGTGTTAGCTAAAGGAGAGGTATTGCTTCCAATCGATCTTGTATGGCACTGACCGCGCAGGGCTCTAATCGACTCCTTTGCACAGCTCATAAGTAACGAACATAAGTTAACGTTTTTCCAAAGTGTCTGGTACGAGACTACGCAAAAGCGTGCCATTCGAAGCGAAGTTCTGTGAACCACACTGGACGCCTGCGCGCTGGGTTTGCGCCTGTCACTGTGCGCCTGGACTTTCATTCACCTGTGGCCGAGCACTGTGAGCTGTGGCGTGTACGCGGGTGTGGACGATTCGCGATGTAGCCGGGTATGGCTCACAGCCTGTTTGCCGTGAGAGGTTACCATAGCACTGCGGATAAATCATCGTTTACATGTGACCCGTGCTTTATGATACGGGGTTCAATAGGTACTGTCCAATCTGAAAAATGTCAAACTGTGGAACTAAGCGGTCAAAGTCCGCACCTTACCGCCGATTGTCATAGGGTTTTCGTCCAAGAGGTCTTTCAGCGTCTGTTCGGTCGGGTTTAAGTCATAGTTTGGATTTTATTACCCACCTTAGAGGTTTTCGGCACTCATTATCGATCACTTAACGGTAGTACATTCACTCTATGGAATAATATATAAGTGCTGTATTTGACACATTTAATTTGCGACTAGGTATTGAATGTCGTGTGGTAAATGTCATGTAATCAGCGCTTTAACCATCGCAATGCAAGTGTCACGTAGTCTCAATGTGAGGTGAGCTTCCCTTCGGCTACATCACTATTGTGGTATCGTGTGTTTTTGCTTATGCGTGAATGTTCATCAATGGCCTACTGGGGTGTTAATAGATTTCGCTAGCATCATACTTACTATGTGTGCTTCGTCTTTTCAGCCCTGAATACCATTCATCTCCAACTCAGTTCGGCTGCTAAACTCGTTCTCACGCTAACCACGTACGCTCATTGTGGCGCTGGTTGATGGTGTTGAGTGATGACCACAATGATTGAATTATTGTCTTTTGACTGGCGACACTGGCGCGAAAGGTGGACACGGGACAGGGAACTGAGGACAGCAGGGGCATTTGGTCCTGTTACTTCTAAAAGGGCTATCTTAATTATGCCCATGATGGGCACATTAGTCTCATTTTACGATTAACGCAACTTGAACTGTTTTGAAACACCGACCAAAGTCTCGGTGGGGATAACAATATGCATGCCGGAGGAGGCCATTTGAACCAAGGCCGTATATAGGCCTTGGTCATAGCCTTGGTAGATTTGAACCATGTCCGCCAAACTAGCAGCAGATAACTATTCACGAATCTCCTGATCCGTGCTACCTACCAATGACGCTTGGTGTTGCAATCTCCAAATACCCCGAAAATGCTTCGAGCGAAAAACTTCTCCAAAAACGCAAAAACGTTATCAGACTGAAGGACCAATGAAAAATTGCGATCACTGCCCGTGAATGCTGACAGCAGGATAATTGATTGTCTCATGTGCGCAATTTCTTTAGTCAGACGCGTAAGACATTTATGTGTCATGTTCTTTCATCTGTTCGCGAAAATCATTGTTTTAGCCGTTTTAGCCAATGGCGGTACTGCCTTGGCACGGTGGAATTTGTGCAATTTTTAATTATTTCGGTATTATATCAATAGGGCCATGTTGATCGCCTTGATCATTTCCATCTTGGTACGTATTCTATTGTTACCTGCATCTACATTTAAGGCTGTATCAACATTGAATCCCTTATCTCCACCAAGAAGAGGAACACAAACATTCAATCTGCATCAGCATCAGCATTGAAATTCGAAATCCCATGAGTTTGATAATTTAATTGTTTATTTACAAATGCTTTATTGCTGAAAGATATTAATAGATGTCCTGTAGTCTGCTGTCCGAACTTTGATCGAATCAATTTGAAACAGGTACCTACCTACCTGCCTTGTTTAAACTTGTTTTTGTTTTTCAACCTTTCGGTATTCTTATAACATTTCATAGAGGTATTGATTGCTTACGAGTAAAAAGACAAAATTTTGCACAATTTTGGTCCTGATGATGACAATGGGTCAGTTTGAAGTTCAAATGGCAAGTTCATTGTTTCAAGGAGCTTTTAAATGAAGCTTACTTTACAATACCTCTTAATTATGGACCAATTGCAGTTTGCACAGCTGCACGGCAAGCCGTCAGGCTCCCCTTCCCCTTCAAGATTGTGAGCCTAGATAAAAATGAGGTTAATGATGATACATGACACGATCCTCCAGGGTTTAGTGTGACCATCTATTATGTAGGTACTACTGCCATTGCCACCGGCAGCCCGCAGGTGTACAGAGGAGAGAAATTTGGTGCAGTTGCCCCTTCTGCTGAATCCAACCACACTAAGGAAAAAAATTGTAGAGTTTTTTATTAAGGAAGTTCTTATGTTTTGCAATACATAGGAATCTGCTCACAGTTCTTAATTTTTCCCTTTGAGATCTCTTAGTCCTAGGTAAGAGCAGGTCTAGTTAGACTTCTGAGTTCATGTCTAAAAGTGCATTACTCTATGAGAAAAGCTAGGTACCTATTTAAAAGTTGTTTTCCCTGTCCCAACCAGTGTGAGTAGATCTACCCTTAGGTTCATACTTTGGAGACACAGACAGTGTTGGAATTGCCACCTACTCTGCCATTTTCTTTTAAAGGAAACAGTTCACTTTCCTGAAATTAGTATTTTGCTATTGATTTATGATTTTTTATGCTCAAAATGATCATGAAATAAAATAAAACCTTTTTATAAAAACATTTTTTTCTATATTTTAATATAGGACGAACTATATTCTACGTAAAATAATGTTTGACGCGGAAGCTTATTACGCGTTGACCAATCATATCGCGTAGTTCAAACCTACGCATACTGCATTGGCTGTAAGCAGCATGCTGATTGGCTGACGCTGACGTGGCTGCATTCCTGTGCAAGGCACACATTCCTCTGCAAGGCACTCTTTCGGAACGAGAAATGGAATATCTTCGTCTAGGGTGATCATTGAGCCGTAAAAGCTCCTGATTTGTGCTAGTCTCAGCTCAAGCTACGAAACTGCTATTCCAGTTCAAAACCCCATGTTAAAAGTGAACTATTTCCTTTAATGGGGATTCTCACAGTTCACACCCATCACTTCAGCCATCAGTCATTACCACATTGACAAATTTTAAACTACCTATAGGTCAAATGAAGACTAGAGAGTGAACAGGACAGCTGGTATTCTTCAGTTTAATGAAATTATTAAGCATTTTATTTTGCTATAGTTTCTGAGAGAATCAGAATCATTCCCATTATTGTGCTGGATGGATGAGGATGAGGATCTACATGTGCAAGTGGCCCATGACCAAACTTGATGAAAGAGAGCCGGATGTTGATGGGTTGTTGATTGGAGTTTATTTGTGCATTATGAATTAAGTTACTTTATGTGACTTGTTGAGTGAATTTAATTAATTGTTCAGGCATCAACATTGTTGAACAACTGCTTGAAATATGGATGGTTAACATTTTGTGATGTTATAGGTATAAATTTTCTGTTACATGAAACGCCAACCTTTTTAGATGTTTGACATGAGCTTTTTTGGTCACCTAATTCATATGGATGTTAATTGTTATATACATCTTTGAATGAGTTGGGTGTATCAGAATTCATTGAACATTGGATTCAGTCGCTCTCTAGTGATGAAAGCTGCCTGAAGGCCATCAATTTGCATTTGCCCGTGCGTGATGCCTGCCTCTGTTGGTCAGCGAACCATCGTAAAGCATCGTTCTTCGGGAGTTTGTGACTGGAGGCGACCGTTTCGCCACCTGCAATAGCTTGCGAACCCGTCACCAGATGGCAGGACGCTTACGGCGATAGCCAGATTTGCGCTCTGAGTGGGCACTGTGGAGTGTGGATCATACCACTACTAAATGTGCATGTGACAACGAATATGTCGCGTTAGAAACTGCGTAGATGAAAATGTGTGTAAAACTGTGATCTGACCGTTTGTAAGACACTGATCGCCACCAAACTCCAATGAGATTATTTACTTTTGTTTACTTTTTTCACGATGGTGTGCGTTTTTGGAGTTATGATTGCGGAGCTCCATTTGAGCGTGGGTAGGAACTGGGTGCCGTTGCGTGAGCATTGATACGAGGGGAAAGTGAACTGTGATTTGGTGATGAGGGGCTGTGTGGTTGGGTTACCACCACATTGTGTGTTTGGCAAAAAAAAAAAAAAACGTGTTATGTATGGAAGTTTTTGTCTATGATGTGAGATGTCCGGAAAATGTTTGTCTGTTATGTACTTTTACGATGCTATCTGTGGTTTTCAAAAAATTCTGATGTTTTGAAAAGAAAAGAAAACTCCAAGGAGATCAATTCAGGTCGTCATTTTGTTCGCTTGGTGAGATGATCAGTGATGAATACGGTCAGATCTCGTAAATCTTATAATATGGTATGGGGCCAAAATAAATGAAAGATCTGCATTCTGCATCTCTGTGACTGTAACTAGGAAATTCGAGGTTTTGCTAGTTGCTTCACTGGATCCTTACTTTAACTCATTGTGCGGGCACATAAAACATATTTATGAAACTTATTAGGATGGAGCCCATAGTCTTCGTTTTTAAGGTGGCATTAATGCAATAATATTGTCTTTTCAGTTTGTCTGAAAGAGGAACTTCGTCGGCAACGCACCTGACAGGAAGAGCTAGTGGCACAGTTCTGCATTGAGGTAAGTGCAATTCCCCATGGCGCATCTAAGTTTGTCGAAGTAAACAATAATAAATGCTATTTTTCCCTTGCGCCCTTACAACATCCATGACCTCTTTCGTTGCTTGTTGTGACCTATATCGATTGTACCAAAATCATCTTATCTTATGCCGTCACTTTTTATTTTACGGTAATCCTAAAAGTGCGACGCAGGCGATACGAATACGTTATCGATCGTTCTTCATGCAGAATGGCCTCAATGTGCAGCAAGGAAGCGGCTGCATTTTTACGCATAATGCGGGCCTTTTGGTGGCTCTCATAGCTTTTTTTCGCCTGTGATAAATGACTGTTGAATCATCTCTCTCGCACTGTGTGTTTTTACCGGTTGCGGCGGCCGCCTGGCAGTTTGTAGGGGTTATGACTGGTGGTGTCGGGCTATGTCGGCTCTCACCAGCCGCTGTGTCTACCGACTAATTTTGACCGATCGGCTGGCCGCCTGCCATGTCCCTACCATCAGCGACAAATGCTTATGACCTAGGCGCAGCTACCGCGTGTTTATGTTATCGCTTGATGACCGACGGTGCCTTTGGTGCCAGATGACTAAAGCCCTCTTAGTTTCGACTAATATCAGTCTATCAAGCACCCACTCTAAGTCCTTGGTGAGGCGTATGTTGTTTACTGATATAGGAAATATAACGTATCGCCTCTGCCTTTGTTATTTGGTAGCTATCAGTTTTCCTTCCCAAGATTTGCGTCGTTTTCTTGATTAGCCAACGCATTACGTATTGTTTTACGTCTGCACTCGGCGGCTTTCGAGCGCGTTTGTTGAAGTGAAAATTCACCTTCACAACATACATTTCGTTTTTGTTCCACCTCTTCTAGTCGTCCGTCCTGGGATTTTAGTTTGTGCTCGCGCTAGACATAGTGTTTGCAACGACAGCTTACGTCACTGCTCTGTCACTAAGAGGTCGACAGCGGTATCTGCAGATACTCGTATACCTAATGGCAGGCAGGCTGGCAGCGTCGGTGGCTGCGGGGGCTGGGTGTATATTGTCGGGGGCGGTGATGGTGTGCTCTATGTTTCTGAGCTAGGGATAGTTTCGTCAGCCTGATGACGTCACGGACTCTCGCTCTGTAGCCGGGTCTCTGAGGGTATGACTGGGGCCAGCGGAACTGCAGGCGCCGGCTGGCTGCACGAACCTTTCAGGCGCCGGTTTGCCGGAAATGCATAGGCCGCCGGTGGTACGCTGTTCCTGCAGGGATGAGAATCGGGGCTGGCGGGGAGAAAGACGATGATTAAATTAGACTTAGAACTTTGTCTTTATAAGGGAACTTTGACTGAACTTTGACAATCTGAATCTATGTGCTGCTTAGCTTTGTGCTAACGGCCTTGAACCCCGAATTCGGTGATCACGTTATTCCTTTGTCGCACTGATAAGTTAAAGTAGCAGTGACAACTGCAATGTGCGGTCTTTATTCGTCTAATTTTTTGTTTCCAATAATCATGCGTTACCGTGTATGACACAAATGTTGGCATCGAGGAAGACACGACCTTTGCATCGGTGCTGATGAAAAAGAAACTCGTAAGAAAAACAGCAGGTCATGGTCTTCATCGATCTCCAGCAAAAACGATACCCTAAAGCATTATTGGATGCAGTACGCTACCGCCCTAGGCCCCAACCCCAACAACAGACCACGGCGCTACTCATGGTCATGTGTATGCGCCTCGCCGTGGTATAAACTGATGACGTTAGAGAAACGACAGCGTTGAGGGAGCGGTTGTAGACGGGTAGTACCATTGCACAAACCGCGTGTGCTTTATTTGTCGCAAGTCCTCGGGGCATGTCACGATACCCCCGAACAGGACCCGAGCTCCACGTCCCGGGTCGATCATGTGTCCTGTCGGGGATCTGGTTGGTCCTCCTGCACTCTCCATGGGCCCGGTCGGTCCTCTTGAACTGCGTTTGGGCTACGGTCGGTTCTCTCCCGTATTCCGCCCGTCATGGCAGATGAGTGGTGACTCGCAGGATTTTGTACCGCGTCGTCGCGCCGTCGCCGACCTGGACATGCACCGCGTAGTGTGTCCCAGAACAAATACGTGAGGACCGGTCGATGTCAGTCGAGCGTCTCAAAGTTCTGCGGGAGCGGCTGTCACTTCTGACTCGGTTCTAGCGACGAGCAAAACAGTCGTGACAGGAGGTGATGGTGGTAACTCACAACTCTCCTGGCTAAACTCACAACTTCCCCAGCTTCCACTAAGATGGATCGACTGCTGTATCTGCTATCTGTCCGTCATGACGTCTTTCCCAAGTACCACTCCGTTTGACCTCGGTACCGCGCGTAGTTCTTTGCCTGTCTCCCTCGACCGGCGCGTCAGCCGTGCCCGTCTCCCCTACGATCGCCCTCCGCCCAACTGACTCATTAGCCCGTGGCACTGTTCGACGCGTTGACGGCCTTCCAATTGGCACGTGTTAGCGCCAGGTCGAATTCCCCCGCCGTTTGGAACGAGCCGGCCGACCCTCCGCCCAGCCAACACTTTTTATCCCCGTCAGGCGCATATCTGCTGTTGCTGGTGCAGCTTGTGAGCGACGGCGTTTGGGCCGATGCTGACTGGATGAGCTGATTGGGCTCGTTTTATTTCCCTGCTATTGCAATCAGACCGTCACAGAAATTGGTTATTGTTGGGTTCTATACTTTGGCGAATCGCTCAGTTATCCTGTCCATTACAGCTCGCTGATATGTGCCTCGTTTTCCATCACTTTATATAAAGGTACAGATTCTGTGACGCTCGAGGTAGATGGGCCGGCTGGTCACTTTGGGTAGATGTGACTGGATTATGTAATCATTGTCAACTCAAGTTATTACAACACTGGGCCTGGCATATCCTCTCCCAACCTGCCAGTAGGCATCCGTGTCACTGCGACCACTGTGCAAAGTCAGTAAATTCTATCGCCGTCTACCGGTTCATATGACACAAATCGCGACTGGCAGTCATTCTAGCGCGGTATTTATCGATACGCTGAGGCTCATGTGACTGCAGAGTGCAGATATCTCGATTCGTTCATTGCAAACATTCGAGTTGGCGTCCGTATCGGCTCGGCTCCTCCGCCGGCCGTCTCGCCAGGGGGCGCATGCGCACAGTGGGCGGCGGCGGCGGGTGAGGCTGGCGTCCGGCAGTGCTGAGCCGCTGGTGTTGAGGTGAGGACTGAGGAGGACGGAGGAGTGACTGTTCCTCGATCGGACGGCGAACGGTGTGTCGGTGGCCCGGATCTGCGCGGAGCTGAGCTGCCAGACAGAGGTCAGTCGATGGGCTGTGGTGAATGGCAAGCTTTAGACGGCTGCTGGGGCTGGTTTCTTTTGATGTAATGATTGATCAGACTTCAGATCAGGCTGTTCCGTCTCTGATAGCTTCAAGGCCAAATCCATCCCACTTTTCCCACACTGGGCCACGACCTGTGAATCGACGACCCGTTCTGGGTCGCTGAGTCCGTTGAACCAACACCTATCCAGTTGGACTTTGAACTGTCCGGCCGACCCGGTGCCGGTCATGCCACCACCGAGCGCCACGCCAAGGTCGAACGCCGTCGTCTGCGCCGGTCCAGTCAGCTGGCCGCGACCGGAAGCCGGTCGTAGCGCGACCGCTGCCGGTTCCGCGTGGCTTTGGGTGTCGCGGCGCCGCCGTCCTATCTGAGACCGTGCCGTGGTGAGAGTCTGTGGGCTATGACCATCAGGCGACTATCGCATAGATGCCGCCCGCCGCCCTGAGTCGCGATGAGATAGCCTCCTCAGGTAGCTGGTGGCTGTGTTGTGCACTTGCAACGATCGGCTCTAAGCGACGATAGACGCTAGCACGATTGCAGCCCGTCCTGTATGAGGGCATATTCTTCTCTGGTGTCGTGTTGGGCCGATTTTCGACTCGATGGTGTTGTTGTATCCTCAGGCTGATTGTTTCCTTGTCAAACTATCTACCTCATGGGATTGAGAGGTGTTTGATACCAGATACGGTCGCACGCTACATCAGCCCGACTGACTAGCCTGATGCGAGATGAGCAGACACACGCGCTGACAACCGTCTACTGAGAACCTGCTGCACGGGTCCAACGTACTAACATGGCACTGCCGGCGGTCAGGCCGGCTCCGATCGAATGTCAATGACGCCAGGATTAGAATACCAGCAGTCGGGATGCGTCTGTCAGGGGCCGGCTGCGGTGGAGCTGCGCGCCCCTCACGCCCGTCCCTTCGCAGCTCGCTTCATGTTGACGGGAATGATATTGACCCCGCCGACCGACTCGCTCGTTGCCTGAGTCTAAGCGCCTATATACCTGGTCATCCCCAAATCCTTTTCCGAAGATGATGTAAGACAGGCCTGGAAACACTCAATGCTAGTGACTCATTGGCTTGTCAGACTTGTCTGCACCGAATAACGATGAACCAGCTCGGTATACCAATTAGTTGGTGTGTCAAGCTGCTTTAAATTAAGTCTGAGTGTTCCCTATCTGACAAAAACTTCTTTACGAGAGATGGCCTGCTGAACGGCAGTTTCTGATATCGCCACCGCAGTCCTATCGTCACAACAGGCGCGCTGCCTCGGTGGCGGATCCGACCGGCACCTGTCGCAGGCCACCGAACCGTGACCGGGCGGCCGTGACCTTGTGCCGCGCCCGGACGGTGGCACCGCTCCTCGCTCCCCGAACGTGCGTGGCACGCGGCCGAGCCGCCGGCGTCTGCGGCCTGCCGGAGCGGGTGCCAGAGTCTGCCTGTCTGACCACTACACTGTGAACACTGGTTTGGTCAGCCCGGGTCCGTCACCCATCGGGGCCTCTCCGATCGAGCGGCCCGCTCCGGAGTATGTGGCCTCCGGACTCCGCGCGGCGCGTGAGACCCCTCCCCAGTCTCACTGCCGCGGCACCGGTCGGTCCGCCGGCCTGCCAGGGAATGTCGGACCGCCTACCAGCGTGTCACCGTGAAGAATGGCCGCTGGCAACACCGGTCAGCTCGCAGCTCGGACGGCCGCTCGACATA